TTTTTTTTTTTTTGAAATAAATATTTTACGAAAAAACATTGCATATTCCATTCATTATTTCGTTATGAATATTTATTTATTTGTAAATACAAATTTTTAAAATAATTAAATAACGCAACAATGAATATTCTTTCCGAATTAAATCAACATTTTTTCGAAATAATTGATATTTATTAATATTTATTGCATCATTTCAACGCATGAACAAGTAATAAAAACCTCATATACTGTATGAAATGATTTAGTTAAAAAATCCTTCCAATAATTCTTTTTATTTGCTGTTGAATAAATAATCTACGCTAAATATGTCACAGCAATTAGTTTCTTCTTGCCAATGCCTTACAAGCTTATATTTTTAGATAATTGTTAGAGTGATTACAATTGGGCTAAATGTTTTTTGAATTATAATAAACCTAAGATTATTTGTACGACTTACGGGAAATAATATACGCGATGCACCAATAAAATTGCTTGCTGACGCACTTGTAAATCTGTATTCACGCGTGATTTGAATTGTGGTTACACGATTAATTAATTTAATAGTAAATATTTCGGAGTTTATAAATGAATAACCCGAACTTTTTTTTTCATCTTGCTTTTGAACAAATTAAATATTTTATAATAAAATTTCATCATGTCCGGTATTCGAACAGAAGTAGTTTGGGCAGCACTTAATAGATCAAAAGCATTAATGGATTATAATATTTACAATAACATACATAAAAAATATGAATTTCAAAAACAAACACTTCTTGCTGATAATTCCCTTACAGAAGATGAAAAAACTGAAGCAATAAAAAAATTAAGCAAAACTTATGACAAATATAAAGTTTTAAAAAATGAAGGAACAAAAAGAATTTGTGAGAATTGTAATCAAGAATGTTTGGCCACATTATGGTATGAATATTGTATTCGAAATTATTTAAAAACAAAATTTTCAAATTGGACATCTGGAAATGATGATATTGATGATTTAATACAAAAATGTCAAACGGAAACACTTAATCCAAGAGCGATAATTGAATGGATTCCATATAATAAATTACAGAATATTGAATTTCTAACAAAAGGTGGATTTTCTGAAATTTATACAGCAAAACGGATTGGTGGAAGATATGAAGTATGGAATTTTAAAGAACAGAAATTAGAAAGATCTGGCTTTAATACAAATGTAATACTTAAAAGATTAGAAAATGTAGAAAATGCAAACAATAATTGGTTTGAAGAGGTTTGTAAACATTTTTATAATTTTAAGTTATCAAAAGTTTTTACTTAATAATTTTTGTATTTTTGTATTATAGGCTATATCGCATTTAACCATCAGCAATAAGGATGCATGCTTTGTTCAGTGTTATGGCTTAACCCAAGATCCATTAAAAAAAAATTATATGCTTGTAATGAATAAAATGGATATAGATTTGAGAAAATATTTGCAACAAAATCATAATCAACTTACTTGGAAAGTAAGAATTTTTATTGTTCGCGAAATAATTGTAGCAGTTTATAATATTCATAAAAAAAATATAATTCATAGAGATTTGCATTCTGGAAATATATTACATTCTCCAAGAAGTGATAGGTGGCATATTAGTGATCTTGGATTTTGTGGCCCTGCAGATAAACCAACAAAAAGTATATATGGAAATCTTCCCTATATAGCACCTGAGGTTATTTCTGGAAAACAAACTACAAAAGCATCTGATATTTATAGTGTTGCAATGCTTATGTGGGAGATTTCATCTGGACAACCACCATTTATTAATTATGAACATGATTATGATCTTGCAATAAATATAATTAATGGAATAAGGCCAAGAATAATATCAGGAACTCCTTTAGAATATAAAAATTTAATTGTACAATGTTGGGATGCCGATCCATCAAAAAGACCTAATATCAGTAAACTTCTAAGAAAAATAAGAGAAATTGATTTATCATATCAAAACATGCCAAATGAATCATTTCAAACCAATATAACTAATAATTTAGAATCAGATTATACAAATACACATAACAAATTATTTGCAAGTAAAATTCACCAATTTGAAAATTTTCCTGAACCAAGAAATGCGACTGAAGGTATTTGACAATTTATATATATAGTATTTGCCTTTTATATTAAAAATTATTATATATAATATGTTTCTTCTTTTTTATTTAATTCACAATAACAGAAGAACAAGAAGGTAAGATTTTTATAGTATTTTGAAATTATTTTTTTATGATAAATGGTATGATTAATTTATATATGTAATTTAGAATTTCACAGTAAACCACATGATTTTCATATTCCTGATAATAGTAAGTAAAGTAATTAAATCATTATTTAAATAAACATTACACACTAATTGATTCTTTTTATTTTTAGTTGATGATTTTGGTAAATCAAATACTAATCGGAAAAGCAGTAGTACATCAACAATAAGTGATAATTTCGAAGGTAATTTCATCCACAAGTTATTACTATATTCATCATCTGGTTCTTCCTCTGAACCTTGAAATGTGGAGTCTTTTTATATATACTAAATAATTAATATTTAATACTTTTAGACGATAACATATACTTACTAACAAAATTTAATGAATTACAAATAAATTCAGCAAATGGTAAGTCGAATAATATAAAAATAGATAATATATAACTATTAATTATCATAATAATTTTTATTATTTAGATACTCACAATAATTTTATTAAAGACGAAACAATACAACAACAAATAAAAAATTATCATATTGATATTAATGGTATATAAATATTTTTTTAAAATCTTTACTTTTACAGTAACAATTAATTTTACATTATTTTTAATTTTATTAATTTTATGGATTTTATAGATGAAGATGAGATATGTAATAATCCATATTTTCATTCAGAGGAACAAGATGAGTTTGATATTCCTGATGGTAAGAGTTTTTTGTTACATAGTATATTTAGAATATTTTAAATTTATTTGACCTTAAATTACTGAAATATTTTTTTTTTACCATTAATAAAACTTTTTAGATATTTAAACGAATGTAAAATGAACTTCATATTGATTCTATTTTTTTTTTATCATTATTTATATTTATATTCTGAATTATTTAAACACTAAGGCTAGAGTAGTAAAATATTTTACAATTTCCTTAGTTTGTAATTTAAATAATTACTGTATTTTTATTTTTATTTTTTCATATTTTATCCAAGTACTATCAATAAATAAACAAATTAAGCTTATAATTTACCAAAGTTTAATATTTTACGTTGAAAACATTGCATTAGCAAAATAATAAATACTATTTTAATATCTTAAGCACCATATGAATCATTTCAGTCAGATACGATGCATGTAGCAGATTATTTATTATCGTTTTGAAATTTTCCTGAACCGAAAAATGCAACTGAAGGTATATATTATTGTATTTCCTATTTTAAAAATTCAATATTACTCTATACTAATAGCGGCTTCTACTAATAAATTTCTTCTTTTTATTTGTACAATAACTAACAACAGGACAAGAAAGTAAAATCTCTACAGTATTTTGAAATTTATTTATGAAAAGTATATGGCTAATATAACTTTTATAACTAATTATTTTTTTAAATAAAATTTTGTAGAATTTACAGTAAATTACAAGATTTTTGTATCCCTGAGGATCGCAAATATTTTTATTAAATTTGATTCGACAATAAAGACATTAATTGATGGATTTTGACTTTTAGTTGAAATATCAATAAATCAAATAACCAAGAAAACCGATATTAGCGATAAGAAACGATAATTTTGAAAGAAATATTAGTTTTTTATTGTACTTATGTTTTAAAATTTGTTAGACTAAGCATTTTATAATTATTAGATAATAAAAATCCAACCAAAATATTTAACAATCTACAAATAAATTCATATTTATTTATTTTCATTATTACGATTTTACGAGCTTCATCAATGTAGGTACTAGGTGGTTTCCTTTATCTTATTATTAATAATATTTATTTATTTGCAAATACAGTAAATAATTGATATTAATGTTCGTTGGGCCATTTTAACACTTGGAACAAATAATGAAAAAACGTCATAGATGATTTAATCAAAAATCTCTGATAATTTTTTTATTGACTGTTGAATAAAAATAAACTAAATTATCACGGCAAATGGTTGTTATTGGTGATACAATTGTAAAATCATTATTTTCACAGAAACTGAGCGCAGTAGACGGAGTGAATCCGATAAGTTTACTCCATCGGCCAAGTTTTGCGGAAAAAATGTCCGGAGACTCCGGACGATCGACCAATAACAGCTTCTATTCCAACGCACGTGACAAGTCTTCGTTACACAGCTAGTTTAATAAATAGCGTATTCGGAGTTACTTCCGATTTTTTTTTCCTGTCCCTTTTCTTTTTCCAGTTAAACTTTTTCTTTTTTTGAAACTTTATTAAGAAAATTTCATCATGACTACCATTAGAATAGAATCAATTAATGCTGCGATTAATAGAGCAAATTCATTAATTGATTATAGAATTTATGATAATATACATAAACAATATAATTTTCAAAAACAAACAGTTCTTTCTGATAATTCACTTACAGAAAATGAAAAAACTGAAGCATGTATAACTTTAAATAAAATTTATGATAGATCTAAAATTCTTCATAATGATGGAACAAGAAGAATTTGTGAAAATTGTAAAGAAGAATGTTTAGCTACATCATATTGTGAATTATGTGTTCGAAATTATTTAAAATCAAAATTTTTAAATTGGACATCCGGAAATAATGATATTGATAATTTTATAAAAAAATGTCAAATTGAAACTATTAGACCAAGTAGTATAATTGAATGGATTCCATATGAAAAATTACAAAATATTGATTATTTAACAAAAGGTGGATTCTCAGAGATTTATACAGCAAAATGGATTGTTGGAAGTTATGATGAATGGGATTCTAAAGAATGTCGATTAAAAAGATTTGGAGGACAAAAAGTAATACTTAAAAAATTACATAATGTTGAAAATGCAAATCAAAGTTGGTTTGATGAGGTTTGTAATTTAAAATACTCAAAAAAAATTTAAGGTCAAAGCTGTATTTTTAAAAAATTTTTTTTTTTTTTTTAATAGGCAAAATCACATTTTACTATTAGCAATAAATATAATAATGTTGTCAAATGTTTTGGTTTAACACAAGATCCATTAAATAAAAATTATATGCTTGTAATGGATACAATGTATAGTGATTTAAGAAATTATTTACAAAAATATCATAATCAACTTACATGGAAGGAAAGATTTTATATCGCCCGTAAGATAATTAGTGCACTTCGTAGAATTCATGACGAAAATGCAATTCATAGAGATTTGCATTCTGGAAATATATTATATTCTCCAAAAACTAACAATTGGTATATTAGTGATCTTGGATTTTGTGGACCCGCAAATAAACCGTTAGAAAGTATATATGGAAGTTTACCTTACTTAGCACCTGAGGTTATTTGTGGAAATAAAACCACAAAAGCATCTGATGTTTATAGTATCGCAATACTTATGTGGGAAATTTCATCCGGACAACCACCATTTATTAATTATGAAATTGATAATAATCTTGCAGAAAATATAGTTAACGGTATAAGACCAAAAATAATATCAGATACTCCTTTAGAATATATGAATTTAATGGTACAATGTTGGGATGCAGATCCATTGAAAAGACCTAGAATTAGAAATCTTCAGAAAAGATTAAGAGAGATTGACCTATCATATCAAGGCATACCATATGAATCATTTCAGTTAGATACGATGGGAGAAACAAGTAATACAAATACATATAGAAGATTATTTACGAGTAAAGTTTATCGGTTTGAGAATTTTCTTGAACCAAAAAATGCAACTGAAGGTACTATTATATTTATTAACCTTTAAAAAATTCAATGTTACTATATAATAACAGCTTCTAATATATTCTTATTATTTGTATAATAATAACAGTAGAACAAGAAGGTAAAATCTCTACAGTATTTTGAAATTTATTTTTGAGAAATATGGCTAATTAATTATTTTTTTTAAAATAAAATTGTGTAGAATTTTACAGTAAATTACATGATTTTTGTATCCCTGATGATCGTAAGTATTTTCTAAAAAAATTTGTATCAAATTATCATGATGTTAATCGATTGATTTTGGCTTTTAGTTGACGATATCAATAAACCAAACAACCAGGAAAACGATACATTAATTGAAAGCAATAATTCTGAAGGTAATTCAATTTTATTGAACGAACTAGGAAACGGAAACCGTTATGGGTCCGGAGCGATAAAATTTGCACATCTATTTATCTTGTTTATTACGTATCACAAATTTTATTCTATTTTTATCTTTATATTTTTTTTGTTAATCGATGCAGCAATGTAGACTTCGCCACGTGATCCAATATGTGATTAACGTTCATAAACATTTATAGTTCTTCGCTTCGCTCCAGATAATTATTAGATGATAAAAACAAAGATATTCAACAAACTACATATAATGCTAGAAAGTGGTAAGTAAAATATTTATTAGCAAATAATTTTTTTAAAAAATTTATTTAGATTATTCTTCCAATTATTTTTCCAATTGGTCAAATTTTATTTTTACAAATGAATTCTTATTATAGTAAAATCTTTTCACTAAACTATTTATAACTATTCATATTTATGGTAAAATTATTTAAACACTAAGACTAGAGTAGTAAAATATTTACAATTTCTTAGTTTGTAATTGAATAATTTTTATTTATTTTTCCATATTATATCTTAACACAATAAATTAACAATTTAAGCTTATCATTTAATCAAAGTTTAATATTATATATAGTAAAAATATGATATTTTGCAATTGTTATTTTGAGCTATAAACACGTTACAAAAATATTAGTAACAAACTATTTAAATTGATATTAAATTTTGCTAATTTTGCCGCTATAATTAGATGTATCTACTTTTAAAATTTTATGAAAATATCAACAATAATACTTAAAAAAATTAATAATGTTATCAATAATCAATAATTTGATCGTTACAGTAAGGCGACACAAAGTGGTAAAAATGGTTTTCATAGTCCGGCCGGGTCAGTTTTGTTAAGTCTAAAAAAAAATTTTTTATATTATTACTATGCCGCGTGAGAATTTTTTAAAAATTGAAAAAAAATTTCGCATATAAAATTTTTGAAAAAAAAAATTAAAAGCCGGGTTGCCGGGTTATTGATGAAATTTTTATATTATGAAAACCATAAAATCAAGTTTGTATGGCCTAATTATTATTTCAATTTATTTTTGTGAAGTTGCAGTATCTAATAATTAAGGTTTTAATTTTTACTTGAAAATGTTGAAGTGACATAAAAGATTGATCGCCCTTTCATCTCAAAAATAAATTAACCAATTAAATTGTTAAATCGCCTAGTATGATTGTAGTCATTGCACATTAATAAAATATGTAATGACAAAATTGTTAGTATTAGTAAAAGTAAAATTTTAAGGTTTCATTACAAATGATCTTTAACATAAGCGAGCGATATTGTGATTTCAAGTTTTCAACGTAAATTTTTACAATAAACTTATTTACTTTATGGCCACTTTAGATATAATAATTTAAGCTTCAAGATTACAAAAACTGCTTTAATTTTTTGTACCAATGTGACACAGATAATAAAGTGGTGTATTTTTTTGATGTTTAAAAATTCTTTTTGCTGCAAAGATCACAAACGAGAGTATGTATATAAGAATTTTTATCATGTTCCTGCCATGTAAGAGAAAATTCAACTCATTATACTTGGCACCATTAAATTATAATGATTTGGTATCCATGACGTGTGTGTTTACTGTGTTATCAGCTGAAATTTATAAACAAATTAATAAAATAATGTTGAAATCGTACTGATTTTCAGAAAAACATTTGATATAGTTAATCATTACTAGACACAAATCACATCTGAAATCGGCAAAGATAGGCTTGCACTTGTATTACTCAATCGCACATTGTCTTGTACTAAATTATCAATGTTTATTACGAAAATAACTCAAGAAGTAGCCAAGTTTAAAATATTATATTGAAATAAATTAATTATCAAACGGACAACAAGTTAAAGTTCCTTGTTATAATTATGGAGTTGATTACTCACCAACTAAAGTAAAAATTTCTAATTAAGCTCTAACAAGTTATTACTTTAATATTATTCCTCACGTAATGCTCGTATTTCTAATTTACTTAATTTATTAAAAACTCTAATCTAAATTAATTTACGATAAATTACTTATGTTTAAAGAAGAAAATATAACTCACATAAATAAAATACAGAAATATCATAATTTGATTATTGTATTTCATTTATCTAACAAAAATTGATCATAAGTTCAATAAATCAACGGTAACTACTACGGATCATTAATTTTTAAGTTATGGTTAACTGTTAATTTTACAATTCGTATTTTAATAAGTTGAATAATTAATCTTTTACCAAGAACATTTATTCAAAGTAGCATTCATAAAAAAATAAATTTCATAAGCAAGGATTATAATAAATTATGAAATCGACTAAACTTTTTTTGAATCCTAGACTCTAAATAATAGTTAATTTGTATTTCTTTAGTTAAAATTGTGATGAATTAGAAAATAAATAATTTATACTTAATTTGTAGCATTATTTCGTAAAAGGATATAAAATGGAACGGGAAAGCCTGAGATTTTGATAAATATATCAGTTACAATTATGCTTGCGTATAGTACTGTATACAGGTTACAGGTATTATCAGAGTATCTTTTACTAACTAATACTGTAAATTTCAGACATTTGAAAATTATTTGGTAATTTTGGCCAGAAGTCAATTAACGACTAGCTTTTTTGTTCATCCAATATTCACCCGACATAATATAACGATATAAGGCTAGAGCTGCGACCCGTTACCCGGTTACCCGGATACAATTCGGGTATTTATGACATGGAATAGCGAATTAGTAAAATGGGCAATGCCCGTTTTGTATCCGTTTTACATCTCGAGTATTGCCCAGGTAATTACTCCAACCGAAAATTAAATTTTGCCAGAGTTAAGTTGTTAACTCTGGCCAGAATTTTAATGCCGGCCGGAATTAAGGGTTATATGGATTTTGCTTGGCCGAATGAAATTTTTTTTTAAATCTGGCGGCCAAAATTATAGTATTCGGCTTGCTTAAGTGGTATGTTGACGGTCAGTACCGGAAAGTTTTTTAAATTCAATAAATATCTTGATTTAGTCAAAAGTATAAACGGGTAATACCCGTTACTGGAGTCGGGTAATACTGTACCGAAATTCTGACGGGTCGCAGCTCTACTATAAGCTAGCTATAAGAGCTTGCAGGAATATTTAAAATCAGAATTTTGGTTATGATTACATTTTGTACATTAATTATCCAAAATCTGAACTTTAAATTGGAGGAAAAAAGGATAATCGAAGCGTTCATCTATATTTTTTTTTAGAAATTCAACTAACCATTTTGGCAAATGGTAAATAAACTAAACTTATAAAAGAAACAAGTTTACATGTCAGCGATTTATAAACAGGTTCTGGTGAGAGTGACTGGATCACTTGAAGATTTATTTTAATATTGCGTGTAAAAAATATTATAGTATAATAAAATGACTTCATATATATTTTTTTAATTATCAGAGTATATACTGAATACGAATGAGGAATTGGGAATTCAATGTAGTTTAAAAGCTATACATGAATTATTTTTGAATAATCCAGTTAATATTGATTGAATAAAATTCGCTCTTCAAAATCATTAATTATGGCAAAGTGAACGAAATTCTGCAATAAATTTTGATATATCATTTTTTTTTTTTCAATTTAATAATGAAGTAACATTCTCTAATTATAATGGGAACGAAAGAATATCATTATCTTTTAAGAATTGAATTTGCTTTATCCATTCATCTGGATGAATATTTCCATCATATTTTGGATTTCATTTTTCTTTAAGAAACAAGTTACAAGACAACCAAATGGCGTGATGGTGGTTTATAAAATAAAATATCTTTACATATAAAATCAAATCAATGATAATTTAAATCAAACATACCAATATCAAATATTGAACTATTCAATATAGAAACACGATTTACACTCGTAAAAATCCAAATTAATATTACTCTATTAATAACATTTAATAAATTATACTTTCGGGTATATAATTTTTAGACTTTATTTTTAATTTATTAAACTTGTCCCAAATTACATGAATAGACAGTTGGGGTATCAATAAAGAAGTTAGTTTTATCAAGATATGAGTTTGTAAAAAAAAACAATTTAAATTAAAATATCAATATCTAGCTAGAAAAAATTATTTATAATAAATAAAGAAAATTGGTAATAAATTAAAATATTGTTACGATCGAAAAAAAGTTTTTTTTTTTACCATCTTATTCTTCAGAATGAAGAAATTTTTACTTAACCATTAAAAATTATATTTGATCCTTTTACATTGTCATTCTTTAATAATCATTTTTAGTATCTAATCACATTATAATAAATAAATTATATTACTGTATATTTTAAAAACTTGTAAAACGATATTTGTTTTTTACATTTTTATTTTTTTTTATTTCTACACGTCCACACGACACAGCAAAAAGAAATCCGTGATCTACGTATTCTGGATGAAAAACGTTTGCGTACAAATAATTTCCGTGTCAATGGAACTTGATATGTTTAATAAAAACTCTGAACATGCTGAAGGTATTGCTTCATAATGTGCGTGCGTGATATGTTATTGTCCCCGTTATTCAAAGAAACATATCACATGATCAATAACACATGAAAATCTGTAAATCTTTTGTAAACGAAATTTTTTCCAAATTAAAAATACAAGGAATAGCATGAAAGAATGATAATAGATAAAAAACAGCTGGTGGGAACTGATACCGTTAAAGTTCGACATTATTATTTTATTATTTAGTTATTATATGTTAATGATGTTATACATTTTTAATTTTATATACTATTTAATTAAAATATTATAAAAAGTATATATATATATATATTATTAATATAATTCTACGCACGCAGACATTAAATAACTATCATACTTTATTTATGTATACATTTTCGGGCGTCTTAACGGCATGTTCGTAATAATCTGTTTCGACATAGTATTTTGTAAGGAGGTTTTTGAATTCAGCTTGATTGCTTAGATTACTCGTTTTGGTGTCAATATCAACCTCCTTTTCCTCTTTTTCCCAGGTGCTTAATTCTACATTGCTATCACCTTTCATTTTTCCTAATTCCTTAAGAAGTTTTGTCCTATCTTGTTTTATGAATACAAACCGTGCCACAAACCCGAATGGGTCCATCTTGCTACTACCAAAGAGAAAGCCGAAAATTCCCCAGATGCCAAGGTAACCACCGACGTTACTAAAAAGGTCGGCTAGCGTGAGGGATGGATCTTCAACCTGATTTATGACCATTCTTGGTTCGATTATGGTAACTCTTATACTTGTTTCATCGACATTAAAAGGTCCTTCAATGACAGAGATCTGAAAGCTTCTATCCACGGTATCGTTTAAAGCTGTATGACGGGTCTCTGTATATTGGATAACCCCACCATTTCCATCTAACACTTGAACCCCTACATCACTAAGCAAGCTTCCTTGAGGAATGCGAAGAGTCCAATCCATATTCGTATTGTTATCGCCAATGAAAACAATAATACCGGGAATATCACCTATAAAGTTTAGTACATAGTCTCCTCTACTGGCATTTATTGGCTTAAGAAAATTTGTACCATTAAAAAATTGGCATGTCCCATATTCTCCTTTAATATCGGTTAAAACAATGGAATAAGATTCAGGATTATCAGAATTATCATTAAAAATAGGATAATATTCGCCAGAAATATATTTAAGACTAAAAGTTTTATTTCCACCATTGCAAAAAAGCATAGATGGAGCCATATCGTTCTTTATTAACGTCACAGATATCTTGGGGGAATCATGTATCATTTTGGAAATATTGAAATATAATACTCCTACTAATCCGGCAGTTAGTAACAAGAAAATGATCACTTTAAGTATTCTTGTAGGGACACTTCGAGTGTTGTCAACCATGCCATCATTGAAATCATTGATAATTTGCTGGCGGAGGCGGGGTAATTGAATGATTCGTATAATGAATACAATAATTATAATAAATGCAAAAATTATGGCAACCGCTAAGGCAAACAATCCGGCTCCGCCATTTAGGGTCTCACGCCAACTATGATCAAAGGGATTAAAGGGAACTGAATCGAGAGAGTCTCCCATATTGAAAACTTTAGGTTTTTGCTAATAAATTTATGACTTTAGTGGATTATTTTTTTCGCACCAAAATAAAAAAATAGAAAAAAAATAGAAAAAATATTTTTAATATTCTCAACAAATTTATATTTTCTTTAACAATAAGGTGCCATCATTTTGTTAATAATATCTAAGTTGATTCGATTTGTTTATGTTACTTTACTAATTTATTCCGATTATAAATTCCAAATAAAGCGATTTATATCGAAATATATAAAGTACTTGTTTGATACATGTGGAGTAACATTGTGACAAATCCATGATGATCGTTTCCTAAATGTATTAACAGGATAATTGTCAAAAAAGTAGGAATCGATCTCAGATCTTACATTTAATCTAATTTGAAGTTTTATTTTGGCAAAAAACCTTTCACAAATGCGAATCTTTACTTTTATTAACTTAATTTTTTCCACTTTTCTTTTAGTGTTAATTGCAGGTTTGAAAAATCCATCGAGTTTGACGCCACCATGCAATGTCGATCATTTTTTTAATTAAGTCTTACTGTAACAAATACGCGAAAAAAGAAAGAATCACAGATGATCATACTCCTGTACACAAGATTAAGGTTTGTATAACGATATGAGCGGAGTTGAGTTCCCGAAGATACTCTTTACTCTTCAATCAGACAGCCATTATAAATCTTGTGTCACACGAACGAACGAGTTAGATCAGCAGGATGTGCAAAATTCTTAGATTGCTCTTCTTAAAAACGACCAAAAAAAAGAAATTCTAGTTATAGATTAAAAGGAGAGCTTACAAATTCCTTCTAATCGCTGCAGAATAATATAAATTCTATTCCATTGTTTAGACTTCAACGCGAGATCAATTATGCAATCGAGGCATTCTTCTTTAATAGCATCTTATTTTCATCACGGGGTAAGCAGCATAAAGTTTCCTTAGATATTCTCCCAGGATATCAAATCCATACGAACCAACAGGGTGAGACTGCATTAAAAATGCAGTAACTGAAGTTGCCGTAAACCATTGAATTTACTATTTCTTCCAGTGAATAAAATCATGCACATGATGCGCAGTAAAATATGCGCATGAAATTTTTAAAAAAATCTATGTGCAAATTCTTTTTGTAAGTATGAAATATAATAAATCCAAAACAAGCGTATAAGGACATATCTGATAAAGTTCGAAGTAAATTAGATGATGTTAGAACTTCCAAGGTACCAAGGTACTATATGCTTGATAGTATAATTCAATTGTTATAAATTTAAGATTGTTGTGAGTTTTATTTTTTATCAGTTTGGATTTTAATCCATATCTTAAATAAAATTATTTGATATAATATTCAATAATTTATGGTTATAATGTCATTTATTTGAATAATTATTTTGAATCAATTAATGTGCAATATTAAAGAGCTCACCGGCGGGATATTCACCGGTTATAGTGCAATATTACAGCTGTTTTCATAAGATCTGGGACAAACTAAATTTTTGAACCCGATCCGCCGATCCGCCGATCCGGTATTTTAGCTGGGCACGTGATCCTGATTTGATAGTTTGATTTGTAAAATAAATAACTGAACCGGATCGGTGGGTCGGCGGTCGGGTTCAAAAATTTATTTTGTCCCAGGTCTTATGAAAACAGTTGTAAAATAAATCCATGAAATAATTGCCTAGGCGCAGACATCAAGTCATCGACATTGATCGTGATCTTGATCAACCTCGATCTCGACATCTAGTTCACGATCTTGTAGAAGGAAAAATTATAAATTATAGAATAGAATAATAAATTGATCGAGATGATGACGTTAAAATAACTTATTTATTGTACGAATTTTATTCTTGTATAAAAAATTTTTTTTTATTCTTGATATATTTTGCCAGATTTTTTTTCCTTAATTAAATTCTCTTATGGTTTACTTATCTTCTTAAATACTCTCATTCAAAGTCTTTAGAAGAAAATTTAAAGAAATACCTGCTGTAAAATACCGGAAAGTAATTTTTTTATATTTTTAAAATCATCGTTCAAATAACTTGAAGGATTCAGGTTTCTGAGCAATACCCATTAAGCATATGTTCCTAAACTTGGACTTCGAAAGATATTTTTAAAATATACAGTATGCAAAATCAAGTGAATTAAAAAAACTTTTCTGGCTCTTGGAACCATCTTTATATGTGCAAAGAATATATTACGCACTACACAGACAATTAGCGCTTCTATTTAATGTGTTGTTATATTAAACGCGGAAAATTGTACTGTATAACTAGAATATGCGTTTTGCGGGGACTTCGTCCCCCATTGTTTAATTTTCTGTATTTAAATATTGAAATCAAATCTAAGAGTTGCATTTTACTGGCATTTACAAAAATACTCTAACTGAAAATATTTATAAACCAAAATTTTTAAATTTCTTTTTCAAATTTTACAATTATTATAATTATTATTTAATGACAACTAACATTATTTATAATATTTTATTAAAAGCATTTCCAAATAAAAAAAAATCAAATTAATTTATTGTACTATATGTTTAATTAAATATGCTAATTTTTTTAATTAATAAAGAAACGTTTCGCAACGTTTTTTTATTAAAACAGTTAAAAAACGTTGCGAACCGTTTTTTTAACATGTAATTTAACAATAAAAAATGTTTCGTAAACGTTCATTTTTAATTATTTTAATAAAAGCGTATACCCAAATATAAATAATTGAACATAACACTCCCGCTATTCTTTATTTTTCACCAAAATAATATACGACTCCTCCTTGATTTCTCCTTTGACAACAACAACTCCTTTGGCAGCAAAGAGAATATTAAGTTAACTGTGGATTATGGCAAAATCTTTTGTGAATAATAGATGGTAACAATAAATTGGTAAATAATAAATTGGTACAATAAATCGGTAAAATGGTAAACAAAATGGATAATAACCTCAACCCTGCTGACGAGCTTAAACAATTCCTGTTTCTTCCAATACTCCTAATAAAAAAAATATTAGAAAAACTGAACGCCCCTCTCCGCAAAACACGCAAGATGCATGTATGGCGAAAAATAGATTATGGACTCATCTTAGGAAGCACTTCTCCCAACATTTCCTCATTGAAATATCCATTTCAAGGTCAAAAGTCCACTCCCCGAATAGCTCATTGGGTATCGGAAAAAAAACACTTTTCGAAAAAATAAACAGTGTATAGAGAACAATTATGTATTTATATTATATGAAATGTTCAAACTTTACTGCGTAATGATCTACTGTATAAAAAATACATTTATTCATTACCGGACTGATGGGATATTTATTTATTTCAATTAATTTGATTTAGAGATTTCTGATTTATTCATTAAGAAATACGTTGAAATACGAATTAAAATTGTGATATAATATAAATATGAAATCCAAACCGTCCCAGATATTCTGTTTTATGTATTTCATGGTGATCATGATTTTGACCATGATTTTGACATATGATGACTCATTTCTTTATTACAATTAAATCCATGATCAAGATGGGCAAAGTAATCATGTGTTATACATAATAGACTTGCGACTGATTGTTTTCGCGTTTTTCGCGTTTTCACGTGTATTAAGGGAAAATCTGAAATACAATAAGTTATGAGTCATCACGATTTAAATATTTAAGCTTATATAACAAAAAATATATATATATATTATTTCTCTTTTCTAGGTCTTTAGGCGGACTTGCGTTTTTCTTTCTTTCAAGTTTTGTCTTCTCTTTGTTTAGGTCTACTTTTTTTTTCGACTTTCTCTTATTCTAGGTTTTTTTTCGGAGTTCTCTTTTTTTTAAAATCTCTGCTTTTTTTAGTTCTTTTTTTTCAGGTTTCGTTTTTGCCTTTCAAGCTTCTCAGAACCCATATTTTTCTTAGGAGCGGTAAAATTTATACATGGGTGAGGCATCCCTTATTTGTTAACTTAGTCTTCTCTTTTTTTTAGGACTTTGCTTTTTTTCTAAGTCTTCTTTTTTTTATGTCTTCTCCTTTTTTAGGTCTTCTATTTTTTAGGTTTTTTTTCGGTCTTTTCTTTTTAGGGCTTTTTTTGGGTCTCTTTTTCGGGTTTTTTTCAAGTTTTTCAGAACTTGCATTTTTCTTAGGAGCAGGTATAGGCATGGGCGAGGCATCCTTTGTGGTAGGGTTAATTTATTTTGTTAAGTTTTTTCTCTTTTTTAGATATTCTCTCTCTCTTTTTTTGATTTTCTCTTTTTTTACTAGGTCTTCTCTTTTTTTTTGGTCTTCTTTTTTTTTTAGGACTCCACTTTCTTTCTAGGTTTTCTCTTTTTTTTAAGTCTTTTTTTGGAAATGGTATAACAGATAAGTTCTATGCATAGACAGGTAAGTTTATTGGGTATTTATATTGGAGCAGCATGACGCTATGCATGGGTGGGAGCATAGTGTGCTTACTTTGTAAGCCTGTGAGTACCAGCTTTGCTGCAGTCTCACAGTAGGGCTGGCTGGGAATTTTTTTGGAGCGGTATAGTACTATGCGAAAGGGTTGGAGCATAGGCGCTTACTTTTAGTAAGCTCGTAGGTACCAGTTTTTGCTGCAGTCCTGCGATAGGACCGGTTGGTTGTGGTACGGCATGGTGCTATGCGTAATTTTCATGGGAGGAGCATAGTGCGCTTCTTAGGAAGTCCCTTGTGGCAGGGCCGTAATACTTAATCATTAATTGTCTATGAGAAAGTATAAGATTTTCAAATAAGATAAAAAAAAATTGATCGACGCATGATCACATTTGGAAAAGTAATTAATTTAATTTTATCAAAGTCACATCAAATTCGCTTCTTATAATAAAAATTTTTTAAAAAAATATTTATTTGCCAAATTTTTATTTGATATGTATAAAGGTTTATAATAAAAAACTAGTATTACATCCTTTAAAAAGTTTAAATCACAAAAAAGTTTCTCTTTAACTTCTTTAGCCTACTTATTGAAGTGATGTAATGGATCTTTGGAAATGTTCATTGCACATTTCTTTAAAAAAAATTGATAAGTTAGGATAAGTTTTATTGTATATAAAAAATCGTGAATAAAAATTTTTTTTGTACTTTCTAATAATAGAAACGAGAATAATTTTATG